AACGAACATTAGTGACTCCGCTCTAGGCAAAAACAGGTTAAGTTAGGAAAATTTTCAAATAGAGTTAATGATTGCATATCTGATTAGATCATTTAATTACTTTAAAATGGAGTACTATAATATTTGGCATATCTAAAGAAGTGTATGACCAATGTACAGCCAATTGAAATCCGGAAACGACTTATTCCGTAATATGCCAGCTTTGAGATTAAAGCGTTCCGAGCAAGGAGCCCAGTTCGGGCAACAGATGAGCGGTCAGGCGCCTCTTCAAAATAAATTTTTATTTTTTTATTTTTTTGATAATTAAAAATGGACCATAATAAGCTAGAGATATCTGAACCTATATATCCGGATTAAATATGCACTTAGGAAAAATGTAATTTTTGTAAAAATCTCATTTTTGTCCAGGTAGGCCCATTTCAGCATTGACATGTCGTGGTGCTCATTTTACTCAATATCAGATGACTTAAGCGAACTTAGTCCGGTATTATGCTTGGAGCGGCCCGGTCACATTAAGTCGTGCGTGAAGTGACACCGTGTTTGTTAGTGCAAGATACTGCAGTTGCGTACAACATCATTTCAGAACTGTCTGCATGACCTCCCCAAATTCCGAAAGTTGGTTGCATAAACACAATCGCGTGACCTTGAAACTCTCAACCCTAATGCTTAGGAGGACACGGCACGGCAGAGATATTTAACCGCGCAAGAAGGCGAGAAGGATCGCGGCGCCGAATTAAAATTCCAGGCGAATTTAATCGCGCGAGATCACGAGAGGGCACACGATCAAGCGATTGTTATATGGTCGCCGATAACGAAGGGGCAGCACTTGAGTAGCGAATTTCGGAGAGAGGAGTACGGCGATACGCACTCGACAGAAATTTGATCCAATCGATCAACGAGACGAGGCGTGTGATCGTACAAGAAATGTGCGAACGCGCCGGGAAAAAGGTTCGTTGGCGAAGATGTTAGTGCTGTTTATTTGCCTTTCTGAAAGAAATACGGAGAAGGCCATTGAGCGAAATCAGTTCGGGACGCGCGGGTTGAGGTAGTTCCAGGGGTCGTAAATGTCAAAAAGCATGGCCTTTCCGGAGCCAACCAGAAATACAATTTCGCCTTCCTTTAATCACGGTTCCACACTTCTACAGGTATAATGGAGGCAGTCATTTGTAACACTACATGGATAATTGTTACCATACAACACGTCCGATTGGTTAGAAAAATCCAGGGAGGATGCGGGCCGAGCAAAATCGGCCGGGGAATGGCACGGGGGCGCGACACGGAAGAAAGCGATAGAGTAATAAGCCCGGCGTAAATAATCGCCCGGAAAAATATCTAAACATCTTTGGATACGGGCGAGCATGGGTCGGGGATCGGGCCGATTAAATCAGCAAGTTGACCCTCACGCAGTCGAACGAGCACACGGGAGGGCTAATTTCTTCGAGCGACTTTCAAAGAATTCAGCGAAGGCAGGACAGTCGGGCAAATAGAAAATCTGGTGTGACCCCTACCGAATACCCTATTTAAAAAAAATATTAGTTGCTTATTAAAATTTGTTGTACAATAAGATATCATGTAAATATTTGCGTTACTTGAAAAAATAGATTAAAACGAAATAAGATAGAAAATACAGAAAACAGTGTAATAATAAAAAAATCAGAGTAAGGCGGAAAGTATCAGCAGGGGGATCCAACGAACGCTATTAGAGCCGTGGACGCACACTGGATGGGCTGTACGGCCGGCTGTCGGCTATCCAGGCCTTAATTTGGGTTGTAGATTATGGAATGTCGCCACGAATTATTGACAAACAGCTGTGGAAGCGTCATGAGCATTCATTAGACCTCGGTCTGTAACCTGCAAAATAAATGGTCAAATACGCAACTTTTTCGGGGTGGCACCACGGTCGCGGGTGTCATGGCGCCAGTCAAATTTCGTAGCGTTGATGTGTAAATAATTATAACAATTAAATTGTGTATCTGGTAACAAATACGTGTGGGTATAGACGATTTGTTATACAGTAAGTACAGTTGTATGCAGTAAAATCCTAGAGGCTACTGTCCCTTTAAATGTTTTTTTATTATTCCTCTCACCAAACTGATTATAATCGATTCAAAATCGCTTATTGGTTATAAAGTGTTTGTCAAGCTCTCCACGAGCCCAAAAATCTCTATCAATATCTCTTGGGCACCCACCCTTGTCTGCAAAAACGAGCGCGCATGTTCTTTAGGGATATTTTTGCTCTTGGTTCTACAAAGGGTATGTTTGAGTGCGCATGATTGTATGTACATGGAATACGGTCTGTTGTAAGGTTGCACAAATATATCTTGTGTGTATATACTTATATATAGTGTATTACATAATATACATGAATAGATCATGTATTTCGATAACTTTATTACGAAATAATAAAACGAGGTATGGGTTTATTCATTCATAAATTATAAAATTGTTATCTAGATCACGCGTGCATTTAACAGATTATGTATAGAATTACTACGTGACGGGCAGGAATAGTTACGTATCGTACAGTCCTGTTAATACTTATCGTTTGTGTCGATCGTTATAAGTTATAATTCACGTCGTGTGCATCTATATGCAAAACACTGAAACAGTTAGATTGAAAACTGCAAAGATATAACCATGCACCAAGCACCATGCTCGCACGTAGGATAGATATAGATCTCAACGTAAAAGCGGACACGAATTATCACTATGGACGTTGTTCACTCTCGCTATTCTCCGTGGACAGACTTTTTTCGTGTGTCGGGTGGGATCATGTCTCTTCAGATCATAGTTCGCAGAAGGAGACTCCCTCTACTAACTATGTTCAGATTAACCTCAATTTTGCTAAAGTACATTAGTTCTGTCACTGACTGCACTTTCGCTAAAATCTTTTATAGCCGATTGCATCGAAAAGTATTGTTATCAGCCAATCGGATTTCCAGAACGCAACGGCAAACAAGACAAATACCTTGTGTTCACAAATAATAGGTGAAAGAAAGTATAGAAACATGAAGACTTTGGTAGTAAATAGATTTCTTATTTATTTAGCATTATATTTTATTGAAACGCTTCAAGTGCCTGTGGTCTACAGCAGCTGCTGTAAACAAACACATCTTTCCCGCAGGCGTGATTTTTTTCCCTAGGATAATCAAGAACATAGGGCTCTAGTGAGCGCTGTCATTGGTTGATACAAATCACGTGCCTCAAACTCCTGTTTTATGGTGCATTCTAACCCTAACCCTAACCCTATTTTTTTTAAATGAAACAAGCTCAACCAATGGCAGCGCTCACTAGAGCCCTATGTTCTTGATTATCCTAGGGAAAAAAATCACACCTGCAGGAAAGATGTGTTTGTTTACAGCAGCTGCTGTAGATCACAGGCACTTGGAGCGTTTCAATAAAATATAATGCTAAATAAATACGAAATCTATTTACTACCAAAGTAACCAGTACCATGCTTCCCGCAGGGTGGTAAAAACCGGATCCTCGAAAGCTCCAATAGCGTATCCATATGAGCTGAAGCATCCGGGCACTTTTAGAATGAATTGATTTGAAGTTTGGTTTGTAGTAGGCTGGTTCGGAAAGTGTAGTGAATAGATTGCAAGTCCTATAATATTTATTGATTTATGAATTGATTCGAAGTTTCCTGAATAGTTTTGCACATGGACCGGAAACAACAGAGTGGGCGGCAAATTGTAAACGTTAGTAAGTCATTTCAGAGGTCTTGAATAGATTGGAAGTTGAATAAATTGATTGTTAAATGAGCTCTTTGATTGTAAACGTTTATATATGTTTTGAAAGCAGTATGATTAATTTGTAATGTAAGCTATACATTTGTTGTTTGTTACCTAATAATTCTGAAACCAACAGATAAGCACACACGAGCATGTAGACACCATGTTGAATTTGTAAAAAGACCCCCCTCATAAAAAGTCTACCTACCTACCCAAACTTTTCAGCCTGGGTCGGGTGAGGGCAAACAAATATTTTTTTAATTGTGGCCCAAGTCCGGAACTTTTTAGCAATATTTTTGGAAGGTCCGAGGAAAGATTTGAAAGGTCCGAATATGTAACGTTTGTTTGGCTAATAGATCGTTTGGTAACAGTGGGTCCATTTTTAGCTCACCTTGACATCGTCAAGTTGAGCTATTGCCATGGGTCGTCGTACGTCCGTCCGTCAACATTTGGTTTCGGTCAACGATAACTCAGGAACCGTTTGACCCACATGTTTGAAATTGGGTGTAGTTGTTACTGCTATGCTCCATATGAACGTCCTATTTTGAGCACGCCAGTCGACGTACTTTCGAGCCACGGCAATTTTTTGGCAAAAATGGGAATTGCCATTAGTCAGTTTCAGGTTCAACGGATTTTGCTCATTTTTGGTATGTGAATGAATAAGGGCTAGGGTTTTTTGATATTTAAAAAAAAAATTATGCAAATTAGGTAGGGTTTGGCAATTATATAGCATATATATAAACACAAACAGTCTGTAGTGTCACACTCGCTGTAGTTTTTCACAAGCATTTCATTCACGAATACTTAATGCAAAATTGTATTTTCTCTCCACTCTGCGATACAACGTCTATATAGAGTAAAAAGTTCCAAAACAGTCGATACGCACCATAACTATTTATTATCAAGCGCGCATCACGCTACAAAGCGGGTATAGCGCCATCTACAGTCACAAATGTATTCATTTGGTTATAAATTATTTATTGCGATATACAGATGGGCAATCGTTTCTATAATGTACGTCGATGGTTGCTCAATTAAAACTGACTTCTTCTTACTCACTCATTTGTGTCCTTTTTTTGTGGTGAGCTACAGTGTCATTGACACTTTCATTTTTATACAAAAGGCGTTGCAAGTTAGCTTCATCTTTGAAGGCCTGAGAAGAAGCCTGCTATATTCTAATTATCCATTAAGGTTTGAGTAATGGGTAGGCTGACAAATATATTTCTTTGCAGTCATATTTTACCTATTACCTTTTTTTCAGGAAGTATATGTGACACGACTTCGTGACAACGACCCATACAACACCAGAAGATATGTCAGCACCGCCGGTAGATAAAGTTGCAACTTTCAAGTTGGTCGTTGTTGGAGATGGTGGTGTTGGAAAATCTGCTCTGACTATTCAGTTCTTTCAGGGTTTATTTATCTCAGACTATGATCCTACAATAGAAGACTCATACATCCAACATACAGAAGTTGATGGACAGTGGTGTATATTGGATGGTAATAAATTTACCTAAATTTTTGGTTACCAACTAGTCACAGGCTATCGAGTGTATTGAATACAGAGAAAAAAGGATTGGGGTAGAGGCCATTTTTTATAATAAACAGGCCATTTTCACATTACAGCTTTTATATTTTGACATTAATATACAACCTAATAATGTTTATTATTCTAGCACATGAACGACAACAGTCACGTCAGTCAGCTTTTTCTATCTTCTCGTCTATTCAATGTCATTAAGTTAAAAATTGTCCAGAGTCTGTTGAGTCTAGTTCAAACACGATAGGAAATTCTTGTCTGCAGTCGTAATGTTCTATGTCACATCAAAACCAATAAGAGTATTATTAAAGTTACAGTAACATGTGGCATCGCATGTAGATTGTATACTGCTAAGTTATTTTTTAATTCACAGAAAAGCATTCGAGTGTTTGTCATAAACTTTTATGTTGCCACCTGTACAATTAAGTGATATATTTTGCTTACAGTGCTCGACACTGCTGGGCAGGAAGAGTTCTCAGCCATGAGAGAACAGTATATGCGTAAAGGAGATGGCTTTCTTATCGTCTATTCCGTGACAGATCGGCAGAGTTTTGATAATCTGATGCACTTCTACACACAGATTCTGCGGGTGAAAGATAGGTAATTGTCCTGTAATTAAGGTGGAAGTTACACAGTTGTCCACTACATATATGGCGTCTGAGTTAATAGTTTGATGTCTAATATATTCTAAAATAGAAATAGAATTATTTTATCAAAGTGTGTAGGTAGGTAGGTATTTGTGCAATTACTCTGGAAGGAGTTGGATTAAATTAAGCTGGATGATAGAGAAATACTTTACTTTTAGGTATGTGTATTCTATATACTCATGATTTGTCCTGTTCTATTCAAGATTGCTTTCTGTTGTTAATAGAATCACATTATTATACACGTGAATTTTCAGCTCATAGTCTACTAGCCACCCCTATGTGTTCTTCATTGAACCTAGAAATGTCGAGTACTATAAGGTTTTATGTTGGAAATGCAATATACAGGTCATAAGGACTCAGAAACTGCCGGATGCTAATTTGCA